TCAGTGCAGTGACATCCCTAATTCTCATGGTGGGAAAGGAGGAAAGCTACATCTTGCCCAAGGCTTTTCACTGTTCTCAGTGATTTAGAATTTGGAATTTGAGTAACCATAAATTCACAACTGAACCACCTAGTAATCAAACCCAAGTCTGTGAATGTGCTATTTCCTTACCTAGCAACATAAAAAAAAAAAAATCCAAACCTTTTACCACTGGTTTATCTGACTCCCCAATCTCTTATTTATGTCGTAGAGCAAAACACTTTAACATTATTGGCAAGTAAGACTTATTTTCCACATTTTCAGTGTGAAGACTAGAGTTCTATAATGCAAAGTATTAATTCAGTATCCTTTATGCAGGCGTTCCCTTTCTTTTTCCAATCATTTTTCAGTGTTCACCATTTCTTTTTTCATCTGAAAATTCTCTTTCTGCTTATCAAAAACCCTCTCTGGCTGCCTTTTGGTCCTCTGTTTGGGAGGTAGTCCACACAAGTACCACTTCAAATGGTGCAATCGCTGCACTGATCTTCCTATGAGTATAGGTGCTTACTCTGTTAATAGTTTGAGGTGTTTCCTCATTTTTTCCTAAACATATCTTTCCAAAGGAGTTTGAATGGATATTTGTCATCTTTTACATTACAAATATTTGAAGGAACCAGGGAGTTCATGATTAGAGGAATAGTTATCCATATCCTCCACCAATATAATCCATGATGATTATCAGTGGATTATATTGGTGGCAGATACTGAGAATTACTTACTCTGGCTCATTTGAGATATCAGAAAATACAAGCATAGAGTAGTCAACGACCCCATTGGTAACACAGAGGAAAAAGAATCACACACAGAGAAAATATGAAGGAAAGGCCTGCATGAAATGTATTAATCTGGACTGGTGGCCAGTAACTCAACTCAGATCTAGTTTTCAGCTCATGGCTGATTCACCATGAGATGGAAAGTAAATTGGTAGGTTAGAAAAACAGAATTTTTTTTTCTCTCAGTGTATCTCACTATTTATCCTATTGTTAAAAAAATTTTTTAAAATGAATAATTTTATTATTGCTTCATTCCTTGTCTCAAGGACTAACCACACTATCGTGTTTTAGATTATTTCTGGCCTATCATCTCCAATGCTGAGCATTGTCTTCTCAGTGTTTTGTGGACCTTTTTTCTTTCCTTTAGACTGAAGTAAGTCTTTTATTATTTTTTTTTATTAATTTATTGGCAGAATACTTTTTCCACATTTTTATAAGAGCTTTGGCTCTGAAAGAAGTATTTATAATGCATGTACTTTAACCCCAAAGGAAACCAGAAAGAAAAGGAAACTGGAGCGAGAAATTAATTTTCAATTTACAGGGATATTAACAGATGAAGTATGGTTAGAAAAATTTCCTGAAATAAAATAACCACATTGCCCTTCAAATCCTGCCATCAATGTGGTTTGTCATAATACCAAATTAAACTCATTTTAAAAAATGTTGTGTTCTTTTAAACACATATTTTCCTTAAATTTAAGCAAAAGGAAAAACTCTGTTCAAAGCAACAAATTTGGAGTGTTTACTTTTTGTGAGGTAGTGTGCTAGGCTCTGAAAAATATAATAAAATGAGTAAGTCTGCATGGGTGTGTGAATCTTGATTTTCAAAAGTCTTTCTAAAATTTTTTTTATTTTATGGAGTAAAGATAAAGCAGAATTTCATAACAAAGAATAGGAGAATGACAAAGTTAATACACTGCATATCGTCAACTTCAAAGTATTACTCAGGGTACAAGATATGGGCATAAAAAAAATCAAAAAAGTCTTCACAGAGACAGAAGGCTGGGGTTTGTGCGAGAATTACAGAACTCTCTGCGCTTTTGTCTTTTGTCCACCAGCAAGGCTATGAGGCACCTGACACCGTTAATGAACTTTAATTCAACAAATATTTACTGTATGATTAGTACAGATCACTGATAGCCAGTGTGGATCCATCGCCTCTCATTTTAGTAGAGGAGAAACCGAAAGGAAACGATTAAGTAAAATACTGTACATAAATATTATTGAGAAAAAATGTCAGAGGAAGCCCACAGGGAATTCTTGGCCCGGTGATGTTGCAATTCCACGCAGGCTTCAGATAAGAGTCGCTAGGGTGGGTTTCATTAGCAGGGTCTGGAAGTAATGACCTGAATGAAAGGAAGAGTTATCGAAGACAACAGGGGTGACAAAACTGTCCGAGCAGAGGGACTGGCCAAGGCCCTCAGCTGGGAGAGTGTGGGACCTTTGCAGAGATGAACCAAGAGCTACAGGTCAGTGTGGCTGGAACTGGCTCACTAAGGAAGCAGCAGAAAAACAGAGCTTGAACGGTCAGGAAGATTTTAGCTTTTACTCTGATAAGAGGTCACCGGAAGATTTTTCTTTTTAGCACAGGAATAACACGATCTGATTTACAGTTTAGGTTTAGGTGGATCGCGACCAAAGCTAGTCACTTCCCAAAGCAGGAGCACAGATAAGGAAATCCACTATATCCAGCTGAAGATCGATGATTTGGGGAGAGTAGAAGACGAAAAATAGTTGATTTCTGCATATATTTTGTTGGTGAAGCCAGAAGCATTTGCTGAAGGACTGAATGTGAGATGAGGAGGACAAGGTAGAAAGAAGTTTCACTTTCGGTGTCACCTTTGCAAAAGGTGGAACTTTGTAAACTTCTCGATTCGTTTTTAATCTCCGACCAATCAGAATCTTTTAGGATGGTGGCCCTGGAGCCAGTACACTTAAAAGTCCTCCCAGTACTTCTTCCACAGCAGAGGCGACTTGGGCCTTTAATAGGAAGAAAAGGGACGCAGCTGAGTGGAAAAGATGATGCGGGGGTAGGGTCAAGCAACAAGGCACAGACGCCAACGCCACAGCCCGGCAGAAACGACGCGATGAACTCCAACAACTTCACAAAGGCCACGCTCCAACAGAGAAGGATCCGCCCATTTTCGATCCTCCGCCAAGCGCGAGTTTCCGGAGGGACCTGATTGTAGGGCGGACCAAACCGGATGAAGGTCGAGCGCTTTCCGGTTCTCCCCTTGGTGGCTTCTGGTTGGGGGAAGGGGAGGGTCGCGGAGACGCGCCCATTTTGCGCAGGCGCCGTTGGAGAGCCACGCGCGGTGCAATGCCGGGGAGGCACGTTTCGCGGGTCCGGGCCTTGTATAGGCGCATCTTGCATCTGCACCGGCTTCTGCCCTTGGATCTCAAAGCCCTGGGAGACCAGTACGTAAAGGAGGAATTTAGGAGACATAAGACCGTTGGTTCTGAGGACGCCCAGCGTTTCTTGCAGGAATGGGAGGCAAGTGACGCCCCCTTTATTTCACCCCAGACCTTCGAATTATAACCGTAAAGCTGGCCTGGCGTGGTGGCGCGCGCCTGTAATCCCAGTACCTGTAGGCTGAGGCAGGAGGATCCTTGCGAGTTCGAGACCAGCCTGGGCTACAAAGTGAGCTCAAGGCCAGCCCGAACCGCATAGCGAGACCCTGTCTCAAAAAAGACAAAACACAGCACAACAGCAACAATAAAAAACCCGTAAAGCTGTACGGAGAACACTTTTGCAGTTCCAACCTCAGCCCCGTCCCCCACGCCCTCCAGTGTCTGGCGCGCGCTCCTCGCTGGAGCAGATCCCTTACATCAGAGTCTCCAGTTCAGCTTTGGGAGTTCCTGCAGACGCCAGGCGCAGGATGGGCAGGGTGGCACAACACGCAGGTGACCGACTTCACCCTTAAGTGCCCAGCGCTTGCCAGCTTTCGACCCTCCCTTTGCCTTTCCGCGCAGCACATACCTACTAATGAGCCAATGGTTCGCTCCTCTAGACTTAGTGGCCCGTTTCCGTGATTTAGTATTATTGTTTTAATCCCAAGCTCTTGGTAATTTTCTCACTGGACCAATACAGAAATCACGTAACATAAAAACGCTGTGCTGGCAATCACAAACTGTAGAAATAAAAGCGCTGGTTCAAATTAAGCCAGGGGAAGCTTGATTTCTTTAGGGTCCGAAGTGAGGACTTTGCTGTATCACCCAGCACTGCGCTGTCTTAAGGAGGCACGTGAATTAAGGAGTTGACTTTTTTTTTGTTGACTTGACTTTTTCAAGTTGACTTGACTTTTTTTTTTTTTAGTGGACGAGAAAAGCTGTTGAGAGTATTTCGTGGACCTGAGGGTCCTGCGCTGTTTCTTCTTCTAGTTTGTGTATGTAAACAGATGAATAGAATTGGAAATTAAAGGACGTTTTAGTTAGTACTCACAAGTCTGAAGCTGTTTGGTATGAGACAGAGGTAGGCAGTTCCTCACCCTGCAAAGTTGCTGGCTAGAACTTTGCTGAAAGTCGTGACATACTGCATGTCATCTGTTTGCCCCAAGCCAGGAAGTGTATTCTTTTCAATTGTGGACCACATAATTGTGGGCTTCTCCCTTCCCTCCGAGGATGGAACCCAGGGATCTCTGAGTCACAGCCTCGGCACTTTTTGAGGCAGGGTCTTGCTACATTGCCCAGGGGCCTGGAACTTGTAATCCTCCTGCTCAGCTGCCCAAGTAGTTGGGATTATATGGGTTATGGGTGTTATGGGGTAGCTTGCTTCTAAAAAGTGCCTGGGCAACTAAATGTGACTGGGTTTGGCGTTGCTTGCCTCTCCTTCTGGAGCTGGATTCTAAAATTTTCTCATCTTGAACAAAGAATTGAACGCAACAGGCAGAAAACAGCGGTAAAATTTATTCAAGAAAGGAAAAGTGAAGGGTGAGCGAGAAACTGGCTCTGAAGAGCGAGCTTGGGCCAAGTAGAGATAGTAAAAGGGTAAGAGGGATGATAAAAGTACACACGGGTCCGGGAAACTATGAGCTATCATGCCAAGCTATGATAGGAAAGTCTTCATGGTCAGTGTGCTTTTTTATGCTGTCTAAATCTCGAGGAAACCCGTTTGAACTTCTACATACGGGTCCTGAGGGGCCGTGCTAGGATTCCACGCCACAGGCCACTGTCAGGTCGCGGCCATCCTATTGAAACCTGCTCCAGTTCTTGCCGGAAGTCCACGTGCAGGGCTTTGGGAACTGCTCTGCCCATGTATCCGGGATCCTCTAGTTCACAGGTCACGCCAGCTTGTCCAGCCAGCTTTTGCCACACCCTGATTGCCTGTCTCATTTCCCTCTGCGAGACACAAATCCCCAGAAGTCTTTGCAGCGTGCTAAGGGAGTGGAGAGCTCTGTCTCTTATAGCTCCCTCAAGCTAGGAGGGGCGGTAGACCCTACCTACTGGGGATCGTGTGCTCTGGGGCGCTGTGACTCACTAGCTGCGTTGAAGAAGGGAAAAGCTGTCAGGAAACAGTGAATAAAAAGTTAATGACCACTGATCTTTATTATTAGCCCAAATATGAGGAGCAAATCAGATCTCCAGGCTTCCTGTGGCAAGACAGAAACCTTGAATTTTGAAGAGAAATCTCAAGTCTTCCAGAGGTTCGCGGGAGTAACTTTTTAGGGATATCTGAGCCTTGTTCTTTGGAGACTTTATGTCTCTTCTTAGCTAGAAAGTTGAGAGTGTGTACAGTGTTAAAGTTAGATAATTTCTGAGTTGGGCTGCTGCGGGGAACCACTCAGCTTCAAAGCTCAGAGATGTCTGAGGACACCTGAAGATGTGACCCCAGTCGTCTAGCGCAGGTGCTCAGTGGGATAGAGTTACGTAACCGTGACTTAGCGCAGGCAAGCACGCATGCGCTGGTTACGGCACATGTGAGAATGTAAATATGAGATAACAAACTGCGTAAGAGTTGTACAATAAAGACACAGGCGGCTCTCTAGCTCTCGCTGTGGCTCTCTGCTCTGCTCTGCGCTGCCTGCTGTTGTTGCTGATGTCTTTAACCTTGGGGTCCTACCTGCAAAAGTCTCCCTTGGGCCCCCTGAGTGGACCGACAGCTACAAAGTACAGTAGAATATCATCTGCATACTGTAGGATGGTTCTTTTGTTTAAGCTTTAAGTCCCTCGAGTATTTTTCTTGTGCCCAAGCAAAAAGGTGAGGAGTGTCTCCATACCCTTGTGGGAGAACTGTGAGTATATTGCTGCTTCTCTCTTGAAATGGGATTTTCACATTCAAAGGCAAACAGCAATTGGCTGTCAGTGGAGAGGGGTGGAGAAAAATGCATGCTTTAAATCTAAGACCGAGAACCAATTAGTGTCTTTTGGAATCTGGGAGAGAATTGTATATGGATTTGCCACTAGAGGCTGGATTGGAATGACAGCCTTGCTAATGACGTGGGGGTCTTGTAACATCCAGTATTCTCCTGTGGGCTTTACTGCAGGGAAAATCAGACTATTACAAGGGGACCAGCAACTTCACAAGTCTGTATTTGAGGAGCTTGTATATGAGAGGCTGGATGACTTGATGTGCCTCTCCTTGATTGTGTGCTGTGTTCAGTTAGGAAACCGGCTGGGGTTTTTCAGTCTTATAACTACTCGCAAAATTATAGCGATAGCAGAATTTGTCCTATCGGACTATTCCATTATACCATGTAGCAAGATCCACTTGTTGGCTAATTTGGTCAAGGAAACCTGGTGTAGTCCACCAAATAAAATCTGTTTGGGCCTTAGCTGGAATTTGAGAGTTGCCCCCAATTTAGCTGATAAGTCTCTTCTTAGCAAAGTAGCAGGACACTGTGGGACAATTAGAAACTTATGGTTAAATATTTAACCTTCAAAGTGACACATCACAGCAGGAATGAAGAATCTCTGCCTAGGGGTCCCATTGACCCCAACTATGGCTATGGACCTGGAGGAGCGTTTTTCCAGAGAAGGAAATCAAGACAGAAGGAGCTGCCCTTATATCTATACGTGGTTGAATTGGCTCATCCATGACATTCTAGGGTTCCTCAGAGGAGATGGTGATGTCCGTGAATAGAGACATTACAGGTTCCCTTGGGCCTCTGCAGTTGTCAGAGCAGGAAATGATGGTTTTTGCTGGGCCAGCCCCTCTCTGGTACCAGGGGCAGTCAAACATGCAGGACCATGAGTGGGGCACATGCAGAGCAGGGCTCGGGTAGAGGCTGGGTGCAGTCTGCGCCCAGTGTCTAATCTTCTTGCACTTGAAATAGGAACTCTTTCCCTGGTTGTCCCTGGGCTTTTCCTTAGATG